ATATGTCGCAAACTCGATTTCCAACATTTCTATAATTCAAATATTTTCTTTAGGACAGCCTTGGTTAGAACTCGATTTAATATATACACAACCATCTTTAGTACTTCAGTCCATAAGAATTTAGGAAGATTGGAGTTGTTAAGCATACTCCGCACCATATCTAATAATATTTGGCTTCTTCTTTCTATAACACCATTTTAGTCTAGAGAACCAAGCATAGTGTATTGTGCAATAATCCCATGTTTTTTAAGAAACTTAACAAAAAGATCATGTGCTTATCCATTCTCATTATATCAACCATAATATTCTTCACCTCTATCATAATTTTAATTTGTTTACCATATTAGTTCTCGACTTCAGCACTTTATAAAGCAAATAAATATACATATATCATGAGTAATCATCTATAAAGGAGATAAAAAATTTCTGATTATATGCATCAATATATAGACAACAGATCGGTATAAATAATCTAAACTCTTATTAGCACTTTTCTTAGACTTAGTCTGTTTTCCTTTAATACAGTTCACACAAGTATTAAAATTAGTAAAATCAAGAGTACTAAGTACTTCATTGTTATCTAATCTCTTAATTCTCTATATAGAGATATGTTGTGATCTTCAATGCCAAAATATTATTGAATCTTGGATTTTGATGATGAAACCAATTGATAAGTGTTTATGATTTGATCTGCATTTTGAGTGACACGGGAAGCTTCGATCAAGACGAGACAATTAAAGCAGGAAGAATCATGTTGGGCCAGAGGAAAACATGTCAGAAGATTGGATGTCGAGTTGGATGATCGGTCGATGTATCGACAAAAGGCTTCGGGCCATGGTTTCGGGCATCGAGCCAAGAAGAGCGGATATTGCACCAAGGATATCGAAGTTACGGAGGTCAATTGGCCGATTGGGCAACAGGCCGCAAGAGAGGACGATGCGCCGAAGAATTGAATGAAACATCGATGGACCAATGATATGCCTTTTCTGAAGTGATGAATTATTCATCGATAACTTGTAGCAAGTATTGGACCTTCTTATGCTGATCAACAGAACCACACATACTAGCAATTATCTTAGTCTTGATAAACATCACGTTGAGCTGATTAGATCACTTCGATTGCTCATATAGCATGGCCTTAGCTGGAGTGCTGGTATTAGTGACTACAGGTGGTTCATCCTTTCTAATAGCATAATCAATATTTATCCACCCTAGATGGCAGTTCGAGAATGTCATATTGAATATATATAAATTAATAGTTTAAGAAACTACATAAAATTCAAAAAAATTTATGTTAAAATTTGAGGCTTAAAAATCTAAATTGCATATTTTACCAATGTGAAACATGCAAAAAAAATAAATCTCATAACATAAAAATTGGCTATGGGCCAAAATTTTTAATTCAAATAGATTCAAATAATCTTTATGATAAAACCCTTTAAATTATGTACCAATTCATAATCCTTATGGGTAAATTATGAAAATAATATGATATTTTATCCTAATTAATTATATAAATATAATAAAAGATCCTATAGAATAATATTTATTATATTAAGTATAATTAATCATAATATTATGTCTAATTACTTATGTGATCTTTATTTTAATTTTATATATAATTTTAAATATAATTTTAATTAATTAAGGATGTTGTGATCCATATAATCTTAATTAATTAAAATTAATTCATTTTAACATTTGGTATTAGAGCGACATTGACCTCTACCTTGACATGAATTAATTTAATTTTTTTATTTTTATATCAAATGTAATCATTCTCATTAAGTTCTTTATTCATTATCATTAATTTCGTTATTTATTATGGTATAAATGTTTTAGTTTCTTAATGTAACTGCTATTATTAATTTTTTTATTTATTAATCAATAAAATTCTTTATGGTCTAAACGCTTCAAATTTGAATTAATTTTTGAATGTTACGAAGTTGATGGAAGATCGTCTATATAAATGAGTTTTTGGTTCATTGGCTTAATCTCAAGTCTTAAGGATTTCTTATATCATCTAAAGCGAGAGTTATGAGCCAAGAAGTGCCAAAATATTAAGAGAAACCATTGTTGAGATTCTCGATAACAATGACAGGAGGTACGTAATTTTCATTTTCACATTAGTTTTATTATGTTTTTATTATAATGGTTTAGAAACATATTTTGGTCTTAAATTTCTAACATTTGGTATCAGAACTATTTCTTAGATAAGTGTCAAGCAGATCTTGATTATTACAACTATGGAAGCTAAGTTTGTCTCATATTTTTAGGCTACCTCACATGACATATAGTTTAAGAGTTTTTAGAGTCATGGATTCTATTTCTATGCTATTTATAATTTTCTGCGACAAACTGCTCTCTTTATGGTTAAGAACAATAAAAGTGAAAGTTGAAGTAAATACATCGACATTAATTATTTAGTCATTGAGCATATTAGCACTGAATATGATGATTGCTGATCTTTTGACTAAAGGCATGCCACCTTTGAAATTCAATAATAATATAGAAATAATGGAACTTGGTTCCACTTTGTAATTATATTTAAACTCTTATATATTTTAATATTTTCTTATATTTATGTACACATTAATTTGAGAAAATATGTGTGTATATTAATTTAAGAAAATATATTTATACTGGACTAAGAATAAATATAAGATTTATTTATTAAGTAATATTATCATATTAAGATTAATTCTTAAGAAACTAAATATAATACATGGATGATAATACTCGTTCTTAGATGAATTATCATGTATTTATTTCTTAAGAAAGATTAATTTAAGTCATTAAGTTGATCAAGTGGGAGAATGTAATCGTTCTCATTAAGTTCCTCATTTATTATCATTAATTTCTTTATTTATTGTAATCATTTTATTTTTTTATTTATTATGAATGTAACCATTACCATTAATTTTTTATTTATTATCATTAAAATTCTTCAGTTCAAACTTTTCAAAGTTGAATTAATTTTTGAACATTATAAAGTTGATAGTAACAAACGTTCTTGATGGGAGAACATTTATATAAATAAGTTTTTGGTCTCATTTTACTATTAATGAATGTTCAATTTCACTAAAAACACTGAAAATCTTATATCTTCGTGACTTTCAACACCATGAATCAAAAGTCTCAAAAGAGAAACCAAAATTAAGCAATATTTATGGTATAAAAATGAAAACTTTTTTCATATCAAGAAGAGGTTAATCACGTCTCTGATATTAAATGTAAAAATATTTAAGACCAAAACATGTTTTTAAACCATCATAATAGAAATATAAAGAAACTAATGGGGAAATAAAAATTGATCCGATCATTATTGTTGAGAATTTCAACAATAGTTTATCTTAATATTTTGACGCTTCTTGGCTTATGACTCTCACTTTAGATAGTGTAGAAAATCCTTGAGAGAGATAGAGGATAAGGACCAAAAACCTCATTTAGACATTCTCCTATCAAAAACATTCATTACCATCAACTTTATAAAATTAATTAATGTTTGGACCATAATAAAGAAATTTTAATGATAATAAATAATAATAATAATAATAATAATAATAATAATTATTATTATATTCATAATGAATGAAAAATTAAAATATTTAGATCATAATAAATAAAAATTTATGATAATTAATAAGAAACTTAATGAGAATGATTATTTTTTTAAAAAAATTGATGATAATAAATGAAGAACTTAATGAGACCGGTTAGGTTACATATATGTTATAGATGTGTTGAACAACAGAAAACCTCTTTCTGGCAACATATTAATGTGTATAGGGTTGTTTTACAATTGATGAAACTGTTAACTACTGTTAATAATGTTCATGTCTAATGAGGTTAACAAAGAATTGGATGACAAGACATTCCCACGACCTCGAAGTCCACTTTTTTGTTTGATCTCTGAATTAATGAAGTTTTTAAGGGAAAATAATCTGGTGGCTACTACATAATTAAACATCATTACTTGGTTAATTCTACTGCATATTACTTGTTTCTTTTTCACTCCAAAAAAAGGAACAAAAAAAAATAAAAAGGAGTGGACAAAAGAAGACTCGACTGTCAAAAACAGCCTTGTTGCATGTAGTTTGCTTTCATAAAGACACCATATACAATGAGGTATTCGGAGCTGGTAGAGATGCGAGACCTGCTCCTCCAATCATTGCACGAACACAGAAAGAGTAGGAAGATCAAATAAAAGAGGGTGAGAAGATACATGGGGAGTCTTTTGTTTAATGTTGAAACAGTCTCTGATTCCAGCAAATGAGTTCACTAATCTGTATCTCTCATGTCATTGTTAGGTGTTCTTGGGACTTGAGCATGCTTGGACTCAGCTTTAGATTAATCAAGCCTTCTTTACACCTTGCTTTGTTAATAAATAACTAAGCACAGATGCTGATCTTTAGTGTGATGACAAAGCATTCAGGGACATGGTGGGTACTAATCAGATTTGGTTAGTAAGACCTTCTTCCTTTGTTAATAAATAAATAAATAAATATATATATATATATATAATAATAATAATAATAATAATAATAATATCCTGTCATCTGGTGCGACAAGAACTGGAAAAGATTGAAGCAACAATGCCCTAGAAATTAGGACTTAACTACAATTTGCCACAGTTTTTCCACCAAAGGGAATAAACACCATTTCAAGATCATCGTTCTCGAACACTAGAAAGCACTTCAGAACATAGACTTTGGTTCTCCAAAGTAAAAATGTCAGATGACAGGCTCAACACAAATCAAGTACAGAAGGAAAAACCAGGCACCAAAAAAATGAATCAGATTGCTCTGGTCATCATTAACCAGGATCAACTTTGGGAATGTCATAATGCTCACTGAGATTTGCCAAGTACTGGTTAAATTCCTGAATCCGGTCCCGGTGAGATTTGCTTGATATCTTAGTCAATCTCTTCATGTCAATTTTCTGTCTCTGCTCAAAATATCGTCTCTCTGCTGGAGTTAGGAGATCATTGTTTGAAGGTGGATGTCCATGGCCGTCAAGCTCGTCAGCTTCAGTCAGGTCTGCAGTATGACCAATAGAGAATCCAGTACCTCCACCTGTACGTTACAAGTAATGAGTAAAAGTGACATTAAAATATATGAATTTTGTACATCAAAAACGTCGAGCTTCGTGGAAGGGCTAAAGAATTATAAAGCATCTCACAGTGAGAAAGATATGCATTTTTTTAAAGAATAAGAAGGAACATACTAATACTTCTCAAACAATTTCAAGATCGGTAATCCAGGATTTTCCTAAATAACGAAGAAACAACATCATTAACAATGTAATTACAGTCTACCTGCCGGAAGCTCATTTTTCTCGATATGAGATTCTTTATCATAATGATGCTAGTCATAGGTACTCTCTGCAAGTCAATCGCGTGAGTGATAACACGTGTGACTTGACACATAGTTTTTTTGCTTATTATTATTACTTATCATTTTATAACTTTATATTGTCTATTGCTTGAATATATTGTGATGTTTATAGATCTGTGCAATAGGAATCAGATCGTGATGAGATCACGATAATAAGACCGATTCGTCTTTAAACACATGTCCTAAATAATCCCGATCATAGGTTACTCGAGAGGGACACTGAGATATCCGGACAGACTGGTGTACTGTATACCCGTCCATATGATAGATGTAGTTGGTCTCATAGCTGCTCGTGTGGGGACACTAGGGATACAATGCAAGTGCTCATTGGAGAATAAGTTTCATGATTGATCCGCTTACGAAATATTGGATGGTTGATGATACTTTATTATAAGATAGTGATTTCGTAGTCCCAATGGTATATCTGGTCTTTAGAATTGAGATTTCACTCTTTGATACCAGACTTATAGATCTAGAGGTTCCAAATCTAGTATAGTCGATCATCAGGAGTGATAGTCAACCTAACGAGGACTATTGAGTGTCGATAGAGAATCATCTACTCTTAGTGCCATGAGAGGAATATCCCATGTGATCTTGCTCAGACAAATCCCTAACCAAGGTCATTTGGATTCAAAGAGAAAGAGTTCTCTGGGAGAATCCGATTAAAGCGAGACTCGAGTAGAAATCGTATGGGTCTGATAGCACCATGCTTGGTATACGGTCTCTGGGATATTAGATGGATGAGAGACTATAGGTATACGGTAACCGAGGACAAACAGGTCCAATGGATTGGATTCACATATATCGTTTGGGGACTGCGATAGAGTGGCCTAGTACGTCCGCAATCGATGAGTCAAGTGAATTATTATGAAGATAATAATTCATTGAGCCAAAAGGAGTTCTGATAGGTATAACTCACGGCTAGCTCGATATTGGGCATAGAGGGTCACAGACATATGGTATACATTGCGATGAGTAGAGGTTCGGATATGAGATATCCGTCGGAGCCCCTATCTTATTGGATATTCAATAAGCCCCTAAATTATTGGATCTTATGAATGAGATCCAATAAGAGCCATTGAGAGATTATTGGATACATATCCACTAATCTAAGAGGCTTGGGTAGTTGGATGAAGATCCAATACCCAATAGGGTAGGATCCATTAATATTAAGTTGGTAGGGGACCTCTATAAATATGAGGGAACCAATGGTTCTTAGGCTAGAGCTTCTTTGGGTTGTCTTCTCCTATTCTCCTCCCATTCTCCTCCTTAGATAGCAGGCTAGAAGATTTGAGGAGCATCGTCGTAGCCCCAATGTGTGGATCACCACTAGAGAGGAGGGCGCTTGACTTTCTTCATCATCTCTTATAGATATGTAAGGATTCAGGGATATACGATCTCCTTATGTAAAACACTATCTCATACGTGGTTTTAAGTTTTGTGGGTTTCTATGCACCAATCTTCATACGACGATGAACACATCGATGGAAAATTTATGGATTTTGTTTTTATGTTCTTCCGTTGTGCATGTGATACCCGCAAAGATTTCCTTATAGTGGTATCAGAGTTAGGTTGTTCATGCAAAAGATTGATTTTGAACTACGTGTGTTATGTTTTGGAGAAGCTTTTAATGTCAAAATTGTTGATGCAAAAGCGAGAAAAGGCAACAACTGTTGCTACCCTTGCTACCCTCGTAGATGGACTGCCATCTACATGCAAGGGGTTGGCAGCCATCATGCTACTACCGGCGGCCAACCGTCAGCATTGGTGCCTGCAGGGGCGGGCATTGCACCGCAAGGGACGACGCCTGCGAGTGTTGCGCCCGCGGGCAAAGCTGCCCACAGGGGCGGTAGGGCCCATAGGGGCGCTCGCCCAGCGAGGCAGCGGTGCCTGCGGGTGCTGTGCCCGTAGGCAAAGGTGTCGTGGGGCAGCGACGTCGGCGGGCGCTGCGCCCACGAGCAGTGCAACCCACGGAGGCGATAGTGCCCGCAAGGGCGCCCACCTGCAAGGGCGACGTCATCCGCGGGCAGCTCACCGCGATGTCCCAACCGCATAGGGCCACTACCAGCAGGGTGGCAGCGATCGCATCAAGCAAAGGCAGGGGAAGGTTTAAAGGTTTTCTGGGTAAAAGATAGTTTTGCCCCTCGAAATTTGAGAAATTTCAAGTTCTATCCTTTTGTCCTAATTATCAAAATACCCCTCAAAATTTAAAAAATTCCCTACATGCCCTAATTTCAAAAATATTAATTAATTAAAAAGTTTAATTTATTATTATTATTATTATTATTATTATTATTATTATTATTATTATTATTATTATTATTATTATTATTATTATCTAGTAGTCCTACATAATAATATTTACATGTGATGTATAATATGTGGATGAATAATCATGGATCGTCTGATGTGTATGTACTTGTGATTATTATTATTGGGGCCTGTTGAGCCTCCATTTTATTTCTCATTTATTATTAGGCCTGCATGCATATGATTAAGTTGTAATCACATGAGGAGGCGTAGTGAGAGCATGGAAGCGATAACGAGACCCACGAGACGAACGATCGCAATATATGAAGATACGTCGAGATGCCGACAGAACTGATGAGGACGAGATGGGCGATCACAAGGCATGGAGATACACCACTGCACACATAGATCTTGATGTGAGTGATTAGGCCCACTAACTCGGGCCTGATCATATTAGGCTATGGT